CTAACTATAAGGGATTGATAAGACCTACCAGAGCCAGAACATGAAGCAACCTCTGTTGAGGGTGAAAACAACACTGTGGAGAGGTTTGATCCTTTGTTATTTAATTGTTTGTATTCAAAGTGTCATGTTACCCAGCCTAGCCTTCAACTAGGAAATCTCGAACTCTTGAACCTATCAAGTGTTGAATTACAGGCATGTGACACATCTAACCCAAAACACACTTAATCAGTCCATGTGAGGTAACTCAGAAATTTCACCCTAGAAATTACTAAACATGGACAGTGTGTGAGAAAGTTCTTAGAAGCACTTCATAGATACCAACTACTAGAAACAACTCAAGTACCCATTGAATGGACACAGAGTGCAGATCGGTCAAATAATGGAATGACACACAGCAGTGAAATCAATCACTCTGGTCACATGTGTTACTAGGAATATGAAGCACACACACATTTTCAGACAAAACAGTGCCTATTGCACAGGACCCCCTTCCATGAGGAATCTGTGGCAAATGACCCTATGGTAAAGAAAGCAGTGCAGTGGTCATCTGTGGAGGAAGAGGAGGGCACGGTTGCAGAATGCACACAGGTCTGCATCCTCATCTGGTTGACTCTACACTTACAAGGATAACAAAATTTTCAGCACCGTGAACAGGAACATTGATCCAGTTCTATGTTTCAGCTTGTTGCACATTTGTTTACATATTGTCAGTATTCAATTGACTAACAGAGGATCTGCCAGGTACATGGAGAACCAAGTATCAGAACACAGATTAGTGGTCCATGGTGCAGGGGTAGAACACTGATCTAGTGTGTGTTAGGGGCACCGAGTTCAATTTCCAGTACTGGGGAAACAAACCACAGGTGGATGGCTTCTATATTCCCACTAAAACAAAGAGGCTGTTGACCTTCCCAGTCAGAACAGGATGAACCTATCTGCAGAAGAACACGAGATGAAACAGTGTGGTGGTGGAAATGAGGAACGTTTTGGAAGACTTTGCCATTCTAGACATTCCCAGCAGACAGCTCCAATGAAGCCACTGCTTCCACACAGGGGGAAACCCGTTCCCTGAGGGGAACTCACCGATTTCCATCACACTGTCGTCATCCAAAGTCTCCTTAAAGGCAAGAACTCGGAGACACCGAAGCTGCAGACATTGCCGGACAATCAGTTTGGCCACGTGGTGAATCCCGTCCCCAGTGGGAAGGAGCAGTTCCTCCAGGTTCCTGAGAGAACCCAGAGCCTGGGCTGTGGGAGACACCACAAAGCCATCCTCAGTAGTAGTCCCGGCATGAGCGAGCAGCTGATGACCTAGACCTTCTGCAGTCTAGGAGGCCCCACCTAGCAGAGGCCCTCCTCGTCACTGTCCTCTCCAAGGAAAGGAGAAGGGGTCAGCACACAGCTGCTCCCTGCTGTTCTCTGCAGCTGGCTCCCCCATCTTCCCCCACCTGACTCTTCACACAGGTCCATCTGTCTGTCCATTTCTGCTCTCTCTTCTAAAGCAGGGCCTCCACTGCAGGTCACTCTCCTAAATGCACAGACTTGGGCCCCCTCCCTCGCCATCCCGCCTCCTGCCGTCACTCTGAGGACATCCACCGGCCTCATTAAAGCCTTGTCCACTGCCCTGACAGCCTTCCACCCCTCATCCAATCTTCCATAGCATGATACTCTGTAGATCACAGGATGACTAAGTCTCGACTTCTGCGGCCTCACAGAAACTAATTAGAAAGACTTTCTGGCATGAGGCAATATTCCAGGTTTATCTTTGACTTTCCCTTCTTAGTTCTGAAATAAAATATTTCTTGTGACATTGACATCATGATGGGGAAATGTATAGACGGCCACCCAAACTAGTGGAAACCCATGAACTGTGGACCAATAGCTGAGGAGCCCCCATGGGACTGGACTAGACCTCTGGATAGGTAAGACAGTTGTTTAGCTTGAACTGTTTGGAGGGCCCTCCAGGCAGGGGAATTGGGACCTGTCCCTGGTGCATGAGTGAGCTTTTTGGAGCCTAGTGCCTAAAGTGTGACACCTTGGCCAGTCTTGGTGCAGGAGGTAGGGGCTTGGACCTGCCTCCACTTAATGTACCAGGCTCTGCTGACTCCCCATGGGAGACCTTGACTTGGAGGAGGTGTGTATGGGGAGAAGGTTGGGAGGTGGAAAGAGGGAGGAGGGGGCATCTGTGGTTGGTATGCAAAATGAATATAAATTTTCTTAATAAAGAAAAAATATTTCGCCGGGCATTGGTGGCGCACGCCTTTAATCCCAGCACTCGGGAGGCAGAGCCAGGCGGATCTCTGTGAGTTCGAGGCCAGCCTGGGCTA